CTAAGACTAGCACATTGTAGGGCAAAGGAATAGATGTCTTCTCTCAGTCAGTTCTCAGACAGTGACTGTCTAGGTCAAAATTGTCCTAGGAATTTGGGTTTTATTGCTTTTGTGATTCACTCAGACCACACATTTCCCTGGGTACAATCCTTCTGCCAAGATATGTGTTTATGAACAGGATGAAAGATGAACCTCCTCCAGGACTGGCACTGCTCAGCCCTGATGCAGAGGCCAACCCACTGGGCCCACCTACTTCAGTGTTCATGATGAATTTTCAGGGGCCGATTCTCTTAATTTGACCTAGCTCAGAAGGCAGATGAGTTTGAAGATAAAGGTCACTTACTGACTTTTGGCAGTCTACCAGTAGTTAAGTACTTGTTCATTTTTATTTTTTTCCTATTTTGTCTTTCAGAGATGTTTAACCTATTACATATGAAGAAATTAATTAATATAGGTCTATATTTGAATGTGTTTTCTGTCACATATTTTGAAAGCCTCTGATTAAAACACTACATATATTACATGGTCACTTATAGTACTCATTTGAATAATACTGTTACCAATGGAAAATTTTGTGAAGAGTGGGTTCCCTTCCATAGTGATATTCAGCCATTTGCTTTTCCTTTTGAAGACAAGCTCAGAGTCTGTCTTCTAAGTGTTGTACAATATAACATTTATTTGGAGTGCTACAACTCTGTTCTTCTTTGGCATCATAAATGCTAAAGACCAGGAGGTAAATAGTATATGCACGTGGAGACCATTTCCCCTGTTTCCTGCATGAGGGTCCCAGCTAGCTGAATTGAGCCTGAGTAGCAATCCCTACAGTCTCCTTACATGTTCTCCGTGTCTCCTGTGGGAGATTTTAGACATGTTATTTGTGGCATAAGAATTAGTTTGCCTGGAGTTTTTACCTTCTGTAAAGCTTAAGTGGAAGAATAGATAAATCCTTTAAAGTTACCATTTTTTCCTGCTGTTTTTCCATGTGAGGAACAAAGAGTACAAATTAACTTGATATCTTACACTTTTTAGAGAGATCTGAAATTTTTTTTAAAAAAGCATTGTTTTCCAGGTATTTAAAAAATTTGCAAGACCAATATAAAAGCTTAATTCAGCAGAGAGAGAGGAAAAATGGATGACCATCAGGATTTTGAGGAATGGTATTTTTAATCTTTTTTTAAAAAAACTGAATATTTCTGTAGAACAGTCCTTTGGTTTTATGCTTTTGAGTTGATAGCCTTCTTAAATGTTAAGTTATAAAAAGAAGCTAACTTCAGTAACATTGCTTGTAGCTCTGGCAAGAAGTATATATATTATCTTCCTTTCTCCCACTGTGAATAAGCTAAGTGACTGCTAGTTTTAATTTTCTCCTAGTCTTTGTTTTGTTTGGCTCTGCATCGTGGCTCACGCCTGTAATCCCAGCTCTTTGGGAGGCCAAGGTAGGTGGATCACTTGAGGTCAGGAGTTCAGGACCAGCCTGGCCAACATAGTGAAATCCTGTCTCTACTAAAAATTTAAAAATTAGCCAGGTATGGTGATGCATGCCTGTAATCCCAGCTACTCGGGAGGCTGATGCTGGAGAATCACTTCAACCCGGGACATGGAGGTTGCAGTGAGCAGAGATCTTGCCATTGCACTCTAGCCTGGGTGACAGAGCAAGACTACGTCTCAAAAAAAAAAAAAAATCCGTTGTGAAAGACACTTGGTTATTCCTTCAGTCTCAATACTGATTCATTCCTTCCTTCCTTCCTTCCTTCCTTCCTTCCTTCCTTCTCTGTCTTCCTGTCTCTTTCTTTCTTTCTCTGTCTTACTCTAGGGAAGCACTGAACTTCTTTTACTTTCTTATATTTGTATCTTTCTTGTTAATAACTTTGAGCCCTAAAAGTTTGTTTTTGATTAGAATATTTTTATTGCTGAGAAAATACCTTTTTAATATAAAAATTATAAGAAGATTAAAAACTAATGTCAATACAGATTTTTTTGTTGTCTTTTTTTGTTTTAAATATAGTTGTATTTGCGTCTAATCAGTGGGTTAAACAGTATAGGTTTTATATAAAGAATTATTAAACTCTGATAAAAATGACTATAAGATATAAGAAAACTATATATTTTACTCTAAGGCTGACGGAGGAAGACCAAACTTATAAGGGGACCCACTGTAAGTGGGGTTGGGGTTCAGACTTCATTGGAAGGAGGTATATTCAACTCATTTAGTTAGTAGAAAAATTCTCTTTTGGCTAGGCCAGAGAGTTGGTCTATAGTCCAGACATGCTGCTGTGGTCAACAACATGGGGCAGGGGTGTGCAGAAGGAGTAGCAGCTGTGTGGGAAACCACAGATGGGTAGCCCATGCAGGCCTCCAGAGCAAGCAAATTGAGATGTTGATAAGGGCAAGGGCCCTTTAGTGTGCCTATGCAGGCAGAAAGCCTTTGGAGTGCTAGATTCTGTCTTGAGAGGGCTGGTTATTCCTGGGCCAGGCTCAGGCTGCAACCTTGCTGAGAGACTTGCGTATCTGGACATTGGATTGGGGCAGCATTCTCCTAATGTCTTCATCCACATGCCACTAATCCACAGCAAAATGAAAACTGCAGAACCCTTTGTCCTACGACTTCTTTTAGTATTTTCTGCTGAGAAATCTTAAGATGGTTTTTGCTGTAGAGAGGCTTAAAGGATTTGTGTCCATATGGCAATGCATATATCAAATGGTGAATTGGAGATGAGAGTCATGCAGTTGATACCTGGCACAATCATGTTTCTTTTTCCAGTTTATTTTTATGAGAAATTATGTTCATAGTGTTCTATTCATTCTTTGATTCAAGAGAATATGCTATGCATGCACCATGCTAGGTGCCTGAGATTTAATGACAAGGCAGCAAGTAAAATTTTAAGTATGCATGAAGAATCATTGTATTTAGCTGTCACATTCTTGATTGATACTTGATGGTAAAAAGATACTTTTTTTAAGCTTTGAAAGAATAATTGTTTCATATATGAGAGAACTATGGAAATAGTATTCTTCACATTAAGATAAAGTTTTGTGGCAGCAACTATTGAAACAGTAGAGGACTTTGAATCAGAAGACCAAGATTCTGGTCTTGGTTGTTAATTAAACATATACAATCTGGGTCTTAGTTATTGTTGGTGAAATTGTGCTGGACTTATTAGATTCAAAATTTTCTCTCACATCATTTCTAATATACTGTGAGTCTTGCCTCAGATTGGAGTTGAAGGTTAGAGTAAGGAAGGCCTAAAGCCTGTCACAGTCTTTTAGGACAGAGGTATAAAAAGAAATAGCTAATTTTTTTTTAAAACATATAGTTAAGACAGTTTAAGCAGAATCACTAGATTGCTAGTAGATTGGATTGAAACAGGTCTAGTGCAGAGAAATACCAAGCTGAACTGCAGTTCTGGATATATTTCCCTGCTTTGCAGAGATACGATTTTGAGACAGATTTCTGAGTATAAAATATTTTATTATAAGATGGGATTCTGAGTGAGTTAAAAAAAGGAGTTGCTTAAAAAACAATTTACAGATGGGAGAAAATATGTGAATCACATATTAAATAAGGGACTTGTGTCCAGAATATGTAAAGAACTCTTATAACTCAACAAGAAAAAGACAACTGGTTTAAAAGGGAAATGATTTGATAGGCGTCTCTCCAGAGATATACAAATGGCCAGTGAGCAGATAAGAAGATGCTTACCATAATTAGTCATTAAGGAAATGCAAATCAAAACCACAATGAGATACTATTTGATGCCTGCTAGAATGATTATAATTAAAAAGACCAATAGTAACAAGTGTTGGCAAGGATGTGGACTAATTGGAATGCTAATACATTGCTGGTGGAAACATAAAGTAGTACAATCACTTTGGAAAACAGTATGGCAGCTCCTTAAAACATAGTTACCATGTATCAGTTAAACAGAGTTACCTAATGATTCAGCAGTTCTCCTAGGTACATACCCAAGAGAACTGAAAACATATGTCAACACAAACATTTGTTTACAAATATTCATAGTTAGCATTATTTATAATAGATAAAAAGTGGAAACTACTTAAATGTCAGTCAGCAGAGGAAACAAAAATCTGGTAACTCCACATAATGAAATACTATTCAGCTGTAAAAACAAATGAAGTTCTAATACATACTGCAACATGAATGGACTTCGAAAATGTTATGCAAGCAAAAAACAAACCCAGATGCAAAAGAACCACCTATTATTTCATTTATATGAAATGTCTGGAATAGGCAAACTGTAGAAAGTAGTGAGTGATTTTTCAATGGGCTGGGGCAAGGCGGGAATGGAAGTGACTATTAGTAGTTACAGATTTCTTTTTGGGTTGCTGAAAATGTTCTGAACTCAATATACTGAAAACCACTAAGTTGTATACTTTAAAAGGAGTGAATTTTATGGTATGCAAATTATCTCAAGTTGTTTATTTAAAAAATTTGAACCTGAAAAGTTTTTAAAAAGGAGCTTAATTGGTCTGAGATTAAGCTGCAGTTGGCAGTTCCTAAGTGCTAGTTCCCTATTTTTTTCAAAGCTTTTTAAAAAATTCTCTTTGGTATTTAATGTTTACTGTGTTCAATATTTTGACTTTATTTCTTTACACAACTTCTGGTTAACATTTAGGCTACTTGAAGCTGTACCTCAGCTGTTACAAGTAGTACTAGGAGAGTCAAGACATCTTTCCCATACCTGGTGTGTTTTTTTGCCTTGATAACACAAGTAGTCATACGTTTATATGTTTAGGGTTTTTCTTACGAGGAAAGATTGGCTGTGTGGATACCTGGGGAGAAGATGCAATAATGTAGATAAAAAGTTAATTTTATATTTGCTTTATGTTTAGTTATGGAAAGATATGTTTAATAGAAAGAAAATATATAAATGATGTCCTTTCAGAAACTTCTAGAAGGATATTTAAAACTTTCATCTTTTCATGTGAGGTATTCCATTATAATGTTCATTTTTAATAACAAGTAATTTATATCATTACAGACAGATTTGACCAGTTTTGGGCCATCAATCGGAAACTCATGGAATATCCTGCAGAAGAAAATGGATTTCGTTATATCCCCTTTAGAATATATCAGGTAGGAAGTGACATTTTAAAAAACATTCATTTATTAAAGCCTCAGACATCTTACTTGAAACACTAGTCCAGAACTCTGTCTGCATAGTAGCTGAACAGTATTTTTTAAGGGGTTTTCCAAACTGTGTCTTTTAGTGGCAATCAAATCAGATACTGCACTGAAATATTTGACTCATATGCAGTTGGTACTCATTATTTGTGGATTTCATATTGGCAGATTCACATACTTGCTAAAATTTATGTGTAACCCCCAAGTCAGTACTTGGAGCACTTTTAGGGTCAGAGTGGTGAAAAATTGATTCACCTGATGCTCATTTCCCAGCTGAGGTTGATCAATGCAAGGTCGTACCTTCTTGTCTCAGCTGTCATGCTGTAAACCAGGCGTCCCCAAACTGCAGCCCCCTGAGGCCATTTATCCGCCTCCCCCACCCCCCCCCCCCCCCCCCGCACTTCAGGAAGGGGCACCTCTTTCATTGGTGGTCAGTGAGAGGAGCACAGTATGTGGCGGCCCTCCAACGGTCTAAGGGACAGTGAACTGGCCCCCTGTGTAAAAAGTTTGGGGACGCCTGCTGTAAACAGACCTTCTGTTCACAGTGTATGTAGTGCCATGTTTTTACATTTTTGTGCTTTTTGTTAGTGATTTTGCTTTTTAGAACAGACTCCAGATGTAGCACTGAAGTGCTCTTTAAACAGAAACACACATAAAACAAGGTTATATATTGATCATTTGATGAACATGTGACCAAGGGTTCACGGAAACATAACTTTGTATTCTCCCCAGAAGCAAGTATTTCAGTGTTTGTGGTAACCTTATAGAACAGAACCACTGCAAATCACAAGAATTGACTGTCTGTGTGTTTTAGATGGTGAGTTTTCAGTGTTGTAACACAAAATAGGCAATAGGCTCTTAAGCCTTTCTTACAGCATATTTGTATGTGGTAAAGAAACTTCATGTTTCTGTACTTTAAAAGGGCTGGCATAAATATTTGCATTTAGCAAATATTAAATATTTTTTGAATGAATGGCATTCCAGGAAGTTAAGTTACATACTACTAACATGAGAAAAGCATTTAAGAACAAGAATTAGAAGCATAATTGCACAGGCATAGACTCTAATCTAGTAGGTCTTCCATTCAAACTCAGAAGTTTTGTCATAACTTTCTTTGTAGCCATTTTTAGTATCCCACAATCTTTACTAATAGTTACTTCTGTAATTGTTTTAGAGTCTATTATAGAGCTATCACATAACCATGTGTTCAAAGAGGAAAGCAAATTGTCTAATTGAAAATAATAATCTCAATATACTGGAATAATTAAGCATATTTATTTAGTGTTGCAGGTATAATTTTCAAGTAGTCCATATTTTTCATGAAGGTGGGATTATTGTTAGGTTCATGCTTTGTGTCCAGGGTCTAGAAAAGTGCTCAACATTTGAATTTCTAATTTATTAAATCATTTATCATTTACCAAATTTTATTTTAATTATTTATGTCCTTTTTATTTTTACCATGAACTGCACAGTAACATGCCATAAGGCATTCTGACAGCCTAGCAGAATATCTTACTTGTGCAATTTAGTTGAATAAAATATATCACAGACTGTGAAGACATTTCCAAAAGAGTTCTGAAACTGTTTTGAGATTTATACCTCTTAGCATTTATTTGAGTCAAGTTGTAGCATATATATTTATACAAGAGATTCTTTACTGTAACTACTTTAAAATCCTATAGGGAAAGTGTATTATACTTAATTTAGGGATTGTTATTGTCAGAATGTAATGCAACTGTACAGAGGAAAGGTTTTCCTTTTTGAATTTATCGTTCTGTTTTAGGGAAAAATCATCAGATTAATCCCTATCTAGTGTAGTAATATTATAATACAGGAGGATTCAGAGAGAGAGAGAGAGTTTGTGTGTATGTGCCTGTGTGTGTGTGTTAGAGAGAGACAGAGAGAGAAAGAGAATGGCTTTTAAAAGTTCTATAATTAGATAGAAAGTGGGAAGGTAGAGAAGTCTTAAAATTTGCTTTACAAAACCTGGCTGCCAGATGGGGACTCTCTTAGGGCAGAGCCTCCTGCTTGATCTTTAACGTGTCAAGGCACTTAGGCAGTTTTCCTTAAACAGAGAGTGACAAAGAGCCTGAGGACATTATAGGTTCTTGTTTGACCTACGTAACTTTGCTTTTGGCTTTATCCCAGTTCCATTTTGGTTATTTGAATTTGATTAAAGTTTTAGAAGTGGGATATGGAAATGAATATAAGCATTTAGAAGTCCTACTTTTTGCTAATTTGCCATTTCCTGGCGTTTCCTAATTCCCTGTTTGGTATTCAGTCTTCAACCATGACCAAAGGAGGATGGAACTCTACTTTCTGTTTTCCTAATTGTATGTTCTAAAGGCAACATCAGATTTTTGTTGCTGACTTCATGTCTAATTAGTTTGTATAGTTATGATATTCCGTTTGTTAAATGTAGCTTTTATTGATGTAGCATTTTAATTAACACCTTTCATTTCTTTAACATACTAGATACAAATCTCTGTAATATTTAAGACCTTAAGTTACTTAGTAAATTTAAGGAAAACCTGAAAATCCGGATTCATTAATAGATAAATAAAGGGCATAATTTTTACTGAAATACTTATTTTACTTTGCAGAATCCTAATAGAATTTTTGTATAACCAGAGAGAGAGATAGAGACAGAGGAAGGGGTACTGAGCATGCTTGAGTGAGGCCCATTTTATCTTGTTGAAGCCTCAAAACCATCTTAGGATGTAGGAATCATCGTCTGATTTTACATGTGAGGAAACAATCTCAAGAACTTTAAGTCACTTGCCTCAGGGTCACCCAAATGTAAAATGGAAGAAATAGAATTCAGACACAGGTCTGATTTATGAGCAAAGTATGACTTTTGTTTAGAGTAATTAAGATTAATGAATTTTCAGAACATAACTATTATCACGAAAAGTGAAGTCTACCTTGACCAAATAAGTTGATAGGATCCTAGAATACCTGTCTGGTGGTTTTCTTTGAAGACTGACTTTTGTAAAGACTGTCATCAAACTATCTTTTTCATCTGTAAGTCATTCATCATAAGTTCAAAATGACTATAGTCAGATGACAGAATTTTAGTGGTAAAAGTTAAATTGATCCAGAAGCCATCTAGAGATGTTGCAGACCAAAATGTGTCATTTCTGTCATTTACATAACAGTTTAGTTTGGTGTGTGAGTTTCAGGTTTGTGTTCCTAAAGTCCAGGTGCTTCATATTAGCCAGTATTCTAGAGATGACATTAATGGCAGGAAATGTTTCAGAAATGTAACCAAAATGTTATTTAGTACATGTAAACAGGTGGTGATTAATGAAGGCATTTGTCAAAAAGATTTGTAAAATGACTGTGAAGTCCTTAGGTATTGGTATTTGTGATGTAAAGTGAAAATTAGGCACATCATATCTGTTTTTCAAGAAGCAAAGATTCATAAATGTTATCCTGCCATTATACTTTGAGTAAGAAAAATGTGTCTCATTCATTCATTCAACAAATCTGTTTACACACATCATATATTTGCCTGCCATGCCCTGTGCTATGCACAAGGGATACAACTGGTGATCACCCTTTAGAAAGCTTATAATCTAAAGGTGGAAAGAAACAAATCAACTAAGAATACAAATATAACATTGGAACTATGATCGCTATGAAGAAGAGATCTACAGTACAATAAAGACCTAATGTCCCAGGAGGAATTTGTTCTAGTTTGGGAGGAGAAAAGGCTGCTTTGAGGAAATGTTGTATCCCCAGAGATTTGACAGATAGGTGAACTTAAGATAGGCCAAGAGTTATGAGAAGAGCTTTGTAGTCAAAGGGGACAGTCTTAAGTATGAGGACAACCTGTTTGTCTTGAGCACAGAGTTAGGATAAGGATGCAGAGGTAAGGGTCAGATCATATTAACGAGTTTTCTCTGTAAAAAATGAGAGATCCAAAGAGATTTTTTAATAATCTGAATATCCATTCATATTTATTCAACAAAAATCATTCAGTCACCTACTTTGTTCTACATGTTATTCTTAAGGTTATAAAAAGAATTTAGGGAATTTTCATAGAAACGATCTAGCAAAGTTATTTTTAGTTTTAAAAAAACAAGAAGCTGATAAACAATGCTTGTTTTGTAGGAAAGTTAAAATGAGACCAGCCTGGATACAACACAGTGAGACCCAGCTCTACATAAAAATTTTTTAAAGAGCCAGATGTGGTGGTATGCACCGGCAGTCCCAGTACTTAAGAGACTGAGGTGGGAGAATGACTTGTGTTTGAGAGGTCAAGGTTGCAGTTTGCCATAATTGCACCACTTCACTCCAACCTGGGCATCAGAAAGAGACTGTATTAAAAAAAAAAAAAAAAAGATGGTTCCTACTTGTCTTTTATTTTTTATTTTTTTATTTATTTGTTTTATTTATTTACTTATTTATTTATTTTGAGATGGAGTCTCGCTTTGTCGCCCAGGCTGGATTGCAGTGGCACAATCTCGGCTCACTGGTACCTCCGCCTCCCCAGTACAAGCGTTTCTCCTGCCTCAGCCTCCCAAGTGGCTAGGATTACAGGTGCTTGCCACCATGCCTGGTTAATTTTTGTGTTTTTAGTAGAGACAAGGTTTTGCCATGTTGCCCAGGCTGGTCTCGAACTCCGGACCTCAGGTGATCCCTCCACCTCAGCCTCCCAAAGTGCTGGAATTACAGGCATGAGCCACTGCTCCCGGCCTATTTTTTATTTTATTTTATTTTATTTTATTCCCAGAGAGGTCTTGCTCTGTTACCCAGGCATGAGTGCAGTGATGTGATCTCGGTTCACTACAGCCTCTACCTTCCTTGCTAAAGCGATCCTCCTGCTTCAGCCTTCCAAGTAACTGGGACTACAGGCATGTGTCATGCCTAGCTTATTTTTATATTTCTTACTTGTCTTTGGAAGAAGTTGTCGTCAGTTATAAAAAAGTAAAATAAAGTAGAATTTG